CCCCAAAACCCCAAAACCCCAAAACCCCAAAACCCCATATAAACCTGTTGGAGTTGAAGAAATAAAATTAAGTTATTTCATTAAATATGGACAATACAGAGTTCAATACTTTCAACTTCTACACAAGAGAGCTATCCTTTAACCTCTCTGAAGACATGACTCTTAACAAAGACCTAGAGGTAAGTTCAAATAGTGATGTCTTGAGATCAATAAAAGATTGACAAAATTGCAACAAGTATTTCAAAATTATATTCATGATCTGTGAATTGTTATAATTCCATAAAACACTAAACTATTTGTTTCTAAGATTTTGATACAGAATGAACTCTCAAAGTTGGAAAGAAGCAATACAAACCCCTTATTCAAGAGTGAAGAACTTTTACTCTCTCAGGAAGACTTTAAGGACCAAAATTTCGAAGAGATCACTTTGAACAATTCATTTAATTTAGAACAATCACCAGTTTGTGCCATAAATTTTGATGAACCATCAATGAAGCAAGATGTGCCCTGCTTGAGTTTGGAAGCAACAAGTCACAGTAAGGAAAATATTTCGGAAAGGAAAGAAAAGCAGGCTCTCCAATGGAAAGAGAACGGAAGGCTTAATGTCATCAAGAAGTCATCAGTCAGAATGATCAAAAGATTTTACCATAGACTCTTCCTACGAGACAATAAGACTCTTGTGAAGAAAAGATTTGTTAACAGCAAGGCTTCCTTAATCTTGCAAGCAGCAATGAAATTTACAAAGAAATATCTGAAGATCGATAGTGAAAGCTTTGCTGTATATCTTCTCAAAGTTATTGGAGTAAAGTACACTCATTCTGATAGCTCGCATGAAGAAGCTATTAAAGAAGCAGATGACTATAAAATGCTATTAAGTAACTTCTCGAACCCGAGATTTGACCAGATTCAAGAATCAAAGTATTTCCAAATCTTGGTAGAGTATATAATGAAAGGATCCCTACCAGATTCCAAGAAATCATGCTATCAACACTTGTTAGAGACTGAGAAGAAATACATTGAGAAGAATCCCAAGAATTATTCAGATGTGTTCCAAATCTTAAATAATCAATAATTACTACTTTTTTTGGTAAAATAAGTTTTGCCCTAAATTTTGATATTTGAAATAAGACTTGCGGGTTTAGAAAGAAAGAGTGTGGTAATTTTGGACCTATAATGATCGATTCAGGTTGGTGATATATCAGCAACCAAGAATTTAGTACTATCCAAAGTGCGACTAACTTACATAAACTTCTATGATTCAGAACTTACAGTTTGATCTGTCAAATTAGCTAAGATTTTGGATTATTTCTAAGTTTGGATACTGGTTGATATCCAGTCAATAATTTTTTATGATTAAAAAATAGCATGGTTACTAAAGAAATAAAAATCTAAAAGTATTGAAGAAGTATTCATGCCTTATCAAAATATTATGCTTTATAAGTTACTTAAGAAAAACTCTCATAATATTTCAGGAAGCCTAGTCTATTGTGTTCCTCAGAAGAATTTACTGATCTGGTATTCCTCTAAAAGATGATTTGAGTTAGCCAAGAATCCAAGTTTAGGGAATAAATTTTATGCCAGTGGACCACCAGTATGAAGAAAATATTCCGAGATAAGCTAACCAGGAAGTTTGGCATCGATTTTCATACTTAATTCCAGAAACTAGTTATCCTTAAACTGTTATATGTTATTGTATTGACTTCTGAAATACAATTTTTGGATTTGAATTCAGCAAAGTGCGTTTGAAAATACTAACCAAGAAACAGGAATATTTAAGGTTTGGTTAGAACATATCTATGGGTAAAGCACCACAAGCGTATCTTGGCTTATTTGATGTATAATAAAAGTAAGCTAAGACCCAGTAATAGCTCTTCTAGTGATGATATAAATTTATTTTCATAGAGAATGCTTGCTTTTATGAAGAGTTTAACTATAAGAGATGAACAGCAAAGTAAATAGTTCAGATGTCTTATTTCCTATGAAGTAGTTAACCATAGATTAAGTTTGTGTGATTACTGGTATGGCTATCTCCAGTTTGCTAAAGTTTGGAATAGAAATATAAGCAGAGAGGCCTAATTATGATTTATGGCTAGAGGCTCTTGGATAAGAGCAAATTAATTCTTTGATAAACAACTGAGTAATATACTCCATTTCTGATTGTTAATTTCAGTTTAGTGATAATTTTGAGGAAGATCCAGTTTTTGGAAGTATTTATAGTATTCATATTTTTATTTGTCACTTCATATAAATTGGTTTAGATTCCCATTAGATATAACAAAAATTGTCAGTGAAATTATTATAGATGTCAAAAATTGATAAATATAAGGGATAAGAACCTTCAGAAAATTTGAGGCTTCTTAGTCGATTTTTATTGCTCAATGCACCATTTTGTGCAATGATGATTTATTAAAATTTTGGAAAATCCACATTGAAAGGCATATACTCCCTTACATTTTTGAAAAATATTACAGTGAAAGTGCGATAAGACTCTATTTTTTAGTTATCTTATGCCTTAACTCTTCTAATATGTTGAATTATCAGACTCGACATGCTCAAATATTTTGAATTATTTTTTATGAAACTTATCGAATAGTTTGAGAAGAAAATTCATTATCAATACTTTTTATTTACTTTTCAGGATCGTTTTTAAGAGCAGTTCATGTAAGAAATGCAATGTAGAGATTACTATGGCTCTCCTAAGCTGGTCCGAAGCGTTTGGAATGTCAAGATAAATGTTCTAAGAAATCACAAAATTTGGATTTTCCTAATAACTTCTTGGCTATTCAGTAACATCCACCAAAATATGTCCAGCTTGCTCAAATTGCATATTTCTTTAAAACAATAAATCTTGAACTAAATTCTCTTTTGTAAATGCTCTCTGATTATCGTATCGGCTTATAGGCCTGCCAAATGGTAAAATTTTAAAGAATATATTCTAAATTAAAACGATTCATATTGTAACATCCAAAATATGCAACATATTTTCTAGTGTAATATCTCAAGAAATCTCTGTACCAAACTTGAGGGATGATCCCTCCTTGAGGAGTAGTCAGCAAAGGCTAAAACTGATCTACTTCTTCCTATAGGTGCTCTAAGCAAGAGATATTCAGACCTTTTGTATTTTCTAAGTTAATCAGGAGGAGAATTTGAGGCAGTTATTTCCTCCTATTGTTTAATAAAATTTTCATGAAGTTGACGGGGGTAAGCATCATCAAATTTACAAGAGAATAATTAGTCCGACCAGTGCTGCATTTTTTGGAATAATATGGTATGCAAATTTAATTCAATAGAGATTTTGTACTATGGGGTTTTGGGGTTTTGGGGTTTTGGGG